TTTTTTTTTTTTTTTTGTGGCTTAAAAAAAAACAACACCCCCCACCGGGGGAGTAAAAAGTTTGGAGAGTCTGGTTGGTTTGACTCCAGAGGGACGCCGCTGACTAGTGGGTTTTTTTTTTTTCCTTCCCTCTTCAGTCTAGTTTCATCAAACGCCCAGGTGGAGAAATTCCTGGAGAACTTTGCATAGCCTCAGAGGAGGCTTGGTGTTATTCAATCTTTGGTGTTGAAAAGATGCCAGGTGTTACTCTTAAATTTCCTTGATATTTTGAGGATAGGAATTGGGTACTTTATTGTCAGTTTGAATGTACACTAATCGGCATACATAATTAAAATGAAATTACATTGCATAGAGCTCTCAAAGGGTCTCCACCTCTAATATACACTACATAAACATGACAAAATAAAAAATAAATACAAAATTATGCATGTACCCACATATATTATATGACACAGAGGAACAACACAGTCTACTTCGGATGTACCCTGTTTCCCTGAAAATAAGACCTCCCCAGATAATACACCCAATCAGGCTTTTGAGTGCATGCGCTAAAATAAGCCCTCCCCCCAAAATAAGCCCTCCCTGAAAGTATTGCAACACAGCAGTAGCCATGAGGTGACTATGCTCACCGCCTCCTGCACCTCAAAAATAGTAAGATCTCCCCAAAAATAAGGCCAAGTGCTTATTTCAGGGGGGGGTCAAAAGAAAATAAGACCCTGTCTCATTTTCAGGGAAACACGGGTATACATATACATGGCAGGAGAAATAAATAAGGGAGTTTACCAAATGGATGGCATAGGGAACAAAGCTGTTACAGAATCTGGAGGTCCAGCTAGAAATACTTTGAAACTTCCTCCCAAAGAGGAGGAACAGAAACAGACCATGAAGTGGGTGTGAGGGGTCTCTAACAATATTTTGTGCTGTAAGTACATAGCTTAGATCCCCTTTGAAAGCAGGAGACGGTGTGCTGCCTTAGTCATGAAAGGCAGATGGGTGATGACTTAGGCCAGTCCCTCTCAGCCCGACTCACCTCGCAGGGTGGTTGTGCGGAAAATAGGAGGAAAATGTATTTGGATATGTTTGCTGCCTTGAGTTATTTGCAAATATAACCAAAGCAGGATACATTAGAGAAAGAAACGAAGAGGATTGCTGGCTCTAAGGGTGGGGGCTGTTTTTTTTTACCTGTTAGTCAACCTGAGGTCAGCAGCTCAATTACACAAATTAGAGCTGGAAAGATGGCAACCTGCCGGCTAGGGTGGAAGCTATAATTCAGCCAAACTATAAATTAATGGCACCATTGGCAATAGAATACCATAGAGCATTGTCGAAAGGGCAGGTTTGTCCCAGGGAGCATTCGCATCGGGAACTACTGGCTGTGTGAGGGACTGCTTTGGGATACAGACATGGTCCACAGAATGATTCCTAATGATTAAAAAAAAAGAAATGAAGTATGAGCCCAATGTGACAAAGTAAGAGAATGGAGAAGTATTGGATATGTAAATCCTTTTTTTTTTTTTTGAGATTATACATAGTTCTCAAAAGGTTCATCTGCTATATCGCCCATTGTTGACAAGCAGGAAGGGATTAGCCTTCTGTGGTTGACTCTGTTGCCTTCTATAGGTGTCTCCAAATCTTCTGGCTACCGTGGAGACCCTCAAGATGGTTCAAAATCTAGTAGAGGAGAGAGGTAAGGGAAGAAGAGAGGGATAGAAGAGAGGGCTGGGGGAGAGAAAGGAGGAGTGGAAAAGGGAGAGATGAAAAGGAGAGAGGAAGGAGAAGTAGAGAAGAGAAGGATGACAGAGAGAAGAAAGGAGGTAGGGAGGGGGAGGAGAGAGAGAGAAGAAAG